ATGATAGACAAAGTATTTATTTGTTGATCCAATTAAAAATAACCCCATTTCACATTAGCATAAATAACTTTATGAAAAATACTCAAAACCAAAAAGAATGGTGAGAAGGATGATATGTAGTGGTACCAATAATTATGTCAAGTATTAACACACTAGTTCAAGAAGAAATAACAAGCTAGATTTAATAAGAATATATTTTCTACTATCTGTCTTCAATAGTTACCTGTAGTTATCTTTAGACAACTACTTTCATGGGTATTAATATTTATCTATCGTACTAATACCTTATTCTAACAAGTAATAACCTAGATTTGAAAAAAATCATTTTTCAACATCTTGGATTCAACCTTATGTCCTAGATATCAGTAGTAATCTCTAATAAACTACTAGTAGTTATCTCTAGTAAACCTGATTACCTAGGTACCTGTAATTATCTGGAGTATTAATGCATTAAGAAATAAGAAATTATAACTGGGAAGCATAAAATAGTTCTGCTTTCTGGCTTCAGTTATTAATTTAAATTACATGTAGTACGTCTACCTAATGTCTCTTTAACTATTTAAAATATATTGAGTATTAACTTGTTAAATTATGAATTCAGATTTAAGTTATGTAAGATTGCCTTTAACCCTTCCTCTCTTCGACTATTTACTATAATTTTTTTTTTAATTAGAGGAGAGCCAACACCGAATTTATCAAAGATGCCAGTGCCTCTCTCACCATCACAATCTTCATTTTAGTAATGTTTTCTCCACCCTCCCAGAGAACAGAGTTCAGAGAGAGAACTCCTGATCTCACGAAATACATGATTTGTAACAACCCGCTTGCCTGGGCCTTCTCACCAATTCCTCAATACATTGCCAAAGAAATTCTTGCATCTCCATATTCTCTATGGTAGACTGTTGTCCAAGCTTAAAGGTGCCACCATAGCAGCATATTGGACCAGTGCTAGGACATAGAACCCTAAGTCGCAGCTCTGTGCTTTCCTGTCCATAAGCTCTCCCCTATATAAACGTATATTTTGTCCCCTGTCTTACTGATTAAACATCCTCAAAATCCACTGGCAAGTATGTATTAACCAGCTCCCACATTTCCTTTTGAGTAGAAGATACTTCCCATCCAAATAAAATGATATATTCTTCCTTGTGTTGTGATCTTACCTCATCATACTTACCCTTGTAATTAGTCTAAT